CGGGCGCGCGCGCCGCGGGGGAGTGCCAGCGGGGGGGCTCGGGGGACATATGCTGGCACCAGGGAGGGAGGAAGGGGGAGGGCTGGCACATCGCTCCTTCCCAAGCACCCTCCAGGGAAGCGGCTGCCCAGCTTCGCTCGCCGACACATCTGCTGCCCCGGCCAGGCTGGTCTCAGCCCTGACACTGCCCCCAGCCTCCTTTCTGCAGGGGAAGAGGGGAGATGGAGGGGGTCTCACAGGGACAGTGATGTCCCTCAGGGAGGGCGAGGACCCCAGCTGACACACTCTCCTCCTCTATAGTTCTCCAAGGAGAAGTACATCCTCGACTCATCCCCGGAGAAGCTGCACAAGGAGCTGGAAGAGGAGCTGAAGCTGAGCAGCACGGACCTGCGCAGCCACGCTTGGTACCATGGCCGCATCCCCCGAGAGGTGAGGGCGAGAGGACGGGTTGCTTTGGGCTCCCCTGGCTTGGGCTGCTCACCAGGAGAGCGCCCCAAGGCCATGCCGAACCACCATCCCTTCCGCGAGGGGCCTGGGACACGCAGCACCAGCCCGGCCTCCCAGAGGGCAGGTGGGAGGTGGGCCACGGGGTGAGCGGTGGTTTGGTACGCTTGCTCAACACATGCTGCACGGAGAGCAGCCCGCACACATGCCAAGCCTGAAGGCCTCTGGCCCCTCGTAGAGGGACAAGCTAGTGCTCCAAGCTGCAACCACATATTCCTTGGTGGAATATCCTCCTCACACCCCGCAGTCCCTACACCCCAGCCCCACACCCCCAGGGTCCCAAGAGCAGAGTCACACCTGAGCCACTGCGCCTTGCCCCTGGCAGGTGTCGGAGAGCCTGGTGCAGAGGAACGGCGACTTCCTCATCCGCGACTCGCTCACCAGCCTGGGCGACTACGTGCTGACGTGCCGCTGGCTCAACGAGCCCCTCCACTTCAAGATCAACAAGGTGACAGTGAAGTCCAGCGATGGCCATACCCGCATCCAGTACCTCTTTGAGCAGGAGAGCTTTGACAACGTGCCCGCCCTCGTCCGCTTCTACGTGGGCAACCGCAGAGCCATCTCCGAGCAGAGCGGGGCCATCATCTACTGCCCCATCAACCGCACCTTCCCGCTGCGCTACCTGGAAGCCAGCTACGGACTCGCCAACGGGAAGCATGGGGGGTCCCACAGCCCCACCACCCAAAAAGGGGGGCACATAAAGCGCAGAAGCATCACCATGACAGACGGCCTGACAGCAGACAAGATCACCAGGGCTGAGGGGTGCCCAACCAGGTGAGGACACTGTCTCAGCCCAGCTGGGCTGAGGGCCAGCCCCTGGGGAAGAGGCAAAGCCACCAGCTCCACTGGTGCCATGCAGCGACTTAAGGCTCAGGGATGGAAACTGTGTCACAGCTCAGGCACAGAAAGACTGGGAAAGGCAAGAGGGGAGGGACTGGTACCCAGCTGGACCAGGGGGCTTGTCCCAACCCAGCCATGCTGAGCTACCACAGCAGACAACTTTAGCATCCCAGGCCAGAAGCCAGAGAGCTTTTACAATCACCCAGTCCAGAATTACCAGCCTGTTGGGGCTTGTTGAAGCAAGGGAGTAGTGCTTTCCCAGGCAGGCGTGAGAGGAGAGCCAGTCCCACCACCAAGGAGGCAGTTGCTGGGCTGTTTTTCAGGGCCCTTTTAGTTTTAGGGCCCTCTGTTCAGCTAGAGCGTTCACCGAGAGTTATAAGAGGAACTGAAAGCCTGCCTGGCAGGAGGAGCTGCTGACAGGGGTCCGCAGACCCCATTGGAGCCTCCCACAGGGTGGTCGCCAGCCCACCGCCCTCCAGGTCGTTCAGCCAGTCCAAGCGCATTGCGCCTAAGAGCTGCGTTTTTCCAGCTCACCTGTCACTAGCACAAACTTTTCTTTAGAGCAAGCCCCTCTCCAAGCACCTCTCAGCTCTGCTCGTATTAGCTTTGAAGCAGTTTGGGCTTCTCCTGAGCTGGAGAAAAAACATTTCCTTTGCATGGCTTTCTTCTGCCAGCCCAGATTCCCACCC